TCTAAGTCTGCTTAGGTTTGTAGATTTAATAGGGCTGCTTTCACACCTCAGTTTTAGTCAAGAAGCAAGCAGTATAGCCCATGCAAGTACAAAATAAACTCAAATGGGTCAGCCAAAAATTAGCCAGCGAAAACAATATAAAATCTTAAACCAGATGTCACTGCTACAGTTGTGCTCACAGCAAGTAGTAAGGAAAGATCAGAAAGTCCTGTGCACAACCAAGCTTTGTAAACTTACTGTCAAGAGTTGCCTGTGTTTTAACTCCACTGTGCCCATTCTGTAAACAAAAGAGATATGAATAAATCATCTCAGAGGTATATTGATTTTTCAGACTGAATCACACATTGAACATGCTTCATACAAAATTCTATATTCTAAATTGAAAGACAAAAAAAGCAGAACAATAACTTTTTACTACCTTTAACAAAATCACATAATAAAGTTGTCTCAAGTGCAAGGTGTCCTGAACATACAGAATCCCATACACTGCCCATACTACACCCATCAGCAGGAGACTTTCCCATGTACTGTATATAACAAACTTCAGGTTCATGCTGATATGAAAGAAAGAATTGCATTAACATATAGAAAATGGTTGTGCTTTTGATCTAGTACAACTCACAATTTTAACTATCCAAGTTACACACAGACGCCAATATTTTTCCATTGAAAGATAAGACTTGAGAAGCACCAGTTGCTTTTTGGATAACGCTGGAGTACAGAAGTAGATAGTCTATGCTTGATCCTCACCAGTACATATGAGCTAGTGTAGAAGACAAGTGTGACTGAGCCATTATATAACAAAAGCCAGAAGTAAATAGACTTACAGACTCTCATAAGTTCCTTAAACTTTTAATAAATTAAGTTCTCTTAAAACAAACCTACGTTCCATATACAAAGAGAGCAGGTGCTTTTGAATAACTCCTGAGAGATCCTCTGTCCTAGATTAGATCTCTCCCTGTGTTTTTTAAAATAAAACATGAAACTAATTCCCACTGCTGTTTAAATCCAACAAGATAGTAATGCTGGAGGGGCCACAAACAGCTTGGGATCCATCTGTTAGGTGCCACATAAATTTAATAAATAATATACCTTTGGATAGAAACTGTCAAGTTATGGCAAAATACCATGACTGATGTTTAAACACAGAGATAGTTCCTTTTTTAAAAGCTAAGCTTTAGGG